ACACTGATATTGATTGACAGGCACATATTAACATGTTTCCATAGTAAAAAAAAATATATATATATATTCATGTCCACAAGATAGGCTTTGCAAAGAAACTGTAATTAAAAAGATCTGTTCCAACTCTCTGTGATCAGTTGCACCTCAAGAATGAGTTTAAAGTATAAAATGTTTTTGAGACGTTTTTCGGATTCAAACCCAAGCGATATTCACTGGCATTGAGCAGAAGAACATGCAAAATCACTCCTTGACGTTACACAACTTTAAGCTTCTGACACCCGCTTGTAACACAGAAGAAGAAGAGAGAAAGTTGATACGCTTGTTGTTAAAGTTACTGCCAATTGAAACAAGCATGTATGGTTCAAGCTGCGGCGCCAGCTCTAGCGATGAGGCAAGAGTTATTGTTCACCAGTGCAATAAGCAGCTACACGTTCATATCGCCTCTAGACATCTTCTTCAAAGTGCGCTCGCATTGATAGTTTTTCTCTTGAGTGCCTCCAAGTGCTGTTTTCTGTAACTTAAGCAGCTCCATGCACGAGAACCAAAGTGTCGATCTGATTGGTGAAGAAGGTTTTGACGCAGTGCGTCAAAACAAAAAAACGAGCATTAGACATTTCGTTAAAAATGACGCTTTTATGCGTGGCATCTTCTGCATTGGTGTGCACGATCACATTGGCGCCTTTTATTTAGTCATGAGGCGTAAAACATTGACGCTAAACGCAACCAAAAATCATCCCAGTGTGCACGAGCCTTAAGTCTTTCCTTTTAGATATTGTAACCAGGAACTTCTCCCTGAAAAATGGAAGAAGAATGGCCTCTTTCTGTTTGTTTCTCCACTATTCCATTAGCATATCATCACTTGGGTTTGGATCATTTCCAGCACAGGGCCGAGTCATCAGATCACTGTATGGCCAGCTTGAATGTACTCTGAACTGGCGTTTCTATGGATGTAGTGTGTGAAGCCACCCATAGACTTCTGAAAAACTCAAATAATGCTACAAATGGACGGGGCCAGTTATCTCCATCTTGTCCATGACTCATTTCGCAGACAATGCATCACTCCTGGGTAACCGAAAATGAGCAAAAGCTTGGGCAGAGCTAGTGATTTTTGCCTTTATCAGTTTTGTTTTAGGGAAAAAGCTTAATAGGTCATTAAAGGGCACCTATGATGAAAATAATATTTTGCAAGCTGTTTGGACAGAATTGTGTGCAGGTATAGTGCGTCCACTGTCATATTAGAGCAGGGGTTCTCAACTAGTTTGGCCATGGGACCCACATTTTTACATAGTCATCAAGCCGCGACCAAAAAGTTTTAGGAACTACTATACAATTTTAGGAATTATAATTAATTTGTATTTGTATGTTAACTTAAACAAGTAGTGACAGATAAATCATAAGAAAATCACAAAGACATTTTACAAAATGTATCAAATTATAGAAATATTACAAAGTAAAAACGACAAATACTGTAAACAGTGGTTAGGGTAAGGAAAGGTTCAGTTACCATGAACTAAACTGAACTGTTAATAAAACATGTTGTCTGGTTTCTCAATGTCGTTTTAATTTAGAAGTCTCTTATGTGCAACCCGGGCTCATTGTGGAAACGTAGCCCCGCGGACGTTTCTGCGGACCGCGATTTACGTCCCGGGAGGTACGTTATTTGAGCGTTTTTTTGTTTTCGCGGATCCGCGAGAGGCCGCTGTGCGCGCTTTTTCGCGTCTCAGGCGGGCGCCTCTCGGGAGCGCGCGGCGTTCGCGCCCGTGCCATTCTCGCGCGAAAAGCCGCCGGATCGGGAAAAAAAAAAAAAAGCAAAAGCCCTCGTCTTCGATTTCGACCGCGTTTTCGGATCCCGCCGTGTTCTCACCCTCATTTTTGGGATTCCGTTTTTCGCCTCACCTGATTTCCGGAACCTGCTGTTCCCCGGACTCGATCCCGGTCGTCGTCCACCGCGGCCGGCTCCTCCTCGTCCGGGGCCTCCGCTCCGCCGACGCAACGCTGTGAGCTAGGCGGACAAACTGATTGCGTCGTGAAAGCCCTCCACTCGGAGGCGAGCCGTTGGCCGGCGAGCGGGAAGAGAAGGGGCGGAGCGACGCCACACCGCCCCGCGGCGTTCGCTCGAAAAAAAACAAACGCGGCCTTTCTGTATGTAAATCGCGGTCTCCAGAAACGTCCGCGGGGCTACGTTTCCAGAATGAGCTTGGGTTGCTTATGTGAGAGCACCTCACGACTTATGACACACTGAGGATTTAAGTCTTTTTTGTCGTCAATATTTGTAACTCCATACTTTACATATTCAGGGTCAGACTTGCGCTTCGACATATTTGTTGCTATAATTAAATGAAATTTCACATGTCAAACGGTAGGATTGTCGTGCACACATTTCAAAATAAAAGTCAAAATTAATAAAAGTCACACGGAAGTGTGCTTTACACACTTTTGGGTCGCGACCCACCAGTTGAGAAACACTGTATTAGAGTGATATAAAGACAGTAAGTCTCTTTTTTAATTTACTGATGCTAAAATTGGATCCAAATCGTAGGAGTGCTGTTTTCCCCGCCCACCCAATTGACTGACAGCCGTGTATTACCATGTCTCAGCAGTAACACGTATAATCATATCCACAAGACAGGACTTGCGCAAAGCAAATAAGATTAAAAGATCTGTTCAGCTCTCTGTCGCACCTTAAGAATGAGATTTACAAGTTTAATGCATGATTATAAAAAAGACGCTTCCCAGTTTGTGGACGTAAATCAGGTTTATTTTGTATATTACCATATTGGATATCCATACAGCAGTGTATATTAATGTGACTTGTCACATTTCTCGTGCAAATAGTGCAAAGTTAAACGTGTGTGTGTGTGTGGACGTGTTCGCGCAAACTTTGTAACGATATTGTGTGTGACACAATATTTTTTTTAAACGATATTGTGTCTTTCCAAAAAATGTATAGTCAAGAACACAATTGTTTGGAGAGCGAGTAGTTTGAGTAGTATTTTCCGCCATTTATTATTCCTAGTCATTTCTCTGACAGGATATTGGATGTTCTGAAACAATCTCAAAAACGAGCACACTTCCACATTGCAGAATAAGGTCAATAAAAGGTCTATTTTTGTACATTAATAAAGCATTAAGAATGTCAGTTTGTTCTATGTAAAGTTGACAGCTGTCTAATAAACATACGTAGTCAGTACGTTATTATTGCAGGTTAGAGATAGACTAGCTGACTGCAGCATACTGGTACAATAGATGTTCTGCATAGTGTTATGAGAAGTCCTGGCCTAATGATGATGATGGAGGAGCACCAGTTTGGAGTTAAAACAGCAGCAATGTCAGCAGCAGGCATTAATGAGAGCTGTCTGGGCACAGCTGTCAGATCATTCTAAGCCACTCTCCTCCCTGCTCTATGACCCAGGCGCTTGCAGAAACACTAGTAATGAGATTGATCAGGGTCCCTTAAAACAGCGAAGAAGGGCACAAGCAGGTGTCATAACAACTGAGAAAAGCTCACCCCTGCTGATTTCAGCTCCTTACAGGTCCAAGGACTCCCATTTGCACATGCCACAGATTTCTGTCTCTGGAAAATTGCATTCATTTGAATTTTAATGGTGCTGCTGATCTATGTATCTATCTATCTATCTATCTATCTATCTATCTATCTATCTATCTATCTATCTATCTATCTATCTATCTATCTATCTATCTATCTATCTATCTATCTATCTATCTATCTACAGTATCTATCTGTCTGTGTCTGTCCATCCACCCGCTCATCCAGCAATCTATTTTCCCATCCATCCATCCATCCATCCATCCATCCATCCATCCATCCATCCATCCATCCATCCATCCATCCATCCATCCATCCATCCATCCATCCATCCATCCATCCATCCATCTATCTATCTATCTATCTATCTATCTCATCCATCTATCTATCTATCTATCTATCTATCTATCTATCTATCTATCTATCTATCTATCTATCTATCTATCTATCTATCTATCTATCTATCTATCTATCTATCTATCTATCTATCTATCTATCTATCTATCTATCTATCTATCTATCTATCTATCTATCTATTCATCCATCTATCCCTCTATCTACCTATTCATCAATTCATTCATCCATCCATCTCTCCATCTATCTCTCCATCTGTCTATCAATTTATCTATCTGACTGTCCATTCATCCCTCTATCTATCCATCTATCCATCCATCCATCCTTCATCTATCTATCTATCTATCTATCTATCTATCTATCTATCTATCTATCTATCTATCTATCTATCTATCTATCTATCTATCTATCTATCTATCTATCTATCTATCTATCTATCTATCTATCTATCTATCTATCTATCTATCTATCTATCTACAGTATCTATCTGTCTGTGTCTGTCCATCCACCCGCTCATCCAGCAATCTATTTTTTCATCCATCCATCCATCCATCCATCCATCCATCCATCCATCCATCCATCCATCCATCCATCCATCCATCCATCCATCCATCCATCCATCCATCTATCTATCTATCTATCTATCTATCTATCTATCTATCTATCTATCTATCTATCTATCTATCTATCTATCTATCTATCTATCTATCTATCTATCTATCTATCTATCTATCTATCTATCTATCTATCTTTTTCATATTCTGAAGCTAAAGCATTGCGTGGCGTTTCACCTGTCTATATTTTATTCACCAATCCTAATCCTCGTTGACCTTACAGGGCGGAGATTTCAGTTTTGAAGGCGTAAAGGGTAAAGGCGGAACCTCGTTACTCAAATGACCTTAAAGGGCAGACACATATTTATGAATCACATCCAAATTAGGACGAAGTGGGCGGGTGCAACAAGCGCTGGGACCAATTGCATGCCGTGTGCTCAGCCAGCGTGGGCGGAGCAGCCGCCTTGTGAGGTTCCCGTGGGCGTGGTCTGACGTAAGGAGGCGGGGGTTTAACCGGAAGTGTGTGTGGACTGGGTCTCCTTGTCATTTGGCTTCAGTAGATTGTGCCGTGAAGAGGAGAAGAAGGACAGCAACGGCAGCGCAGCGAAGGGAGCAGCAGTGCGCTGGTGAAAAAAAAGACAGCGAAAGGAAAAAAATAACAATGAAAAGGACGCACGAACGCTTTGCAGTTCACCAGTAACTAAACTAGTCTTTTTAAATTGAAGTCAATGACGTAGAATCGTCTACGCAAGTGCTTTAAAGGTTAGCAGCTGGCTAAAGCGAGACAGGGCTGTGTCATTGAGAAGGCAGGACACGTCAAGACGAGGAAGGGAGAAAAAATTAGACACTGCTGTCGGATTAAAGATCCCCACTCCATAATATCAGATCACCAGTCTATTCGAGCTTCTGCGTTAGTTTGCGTGGTGGTAATATCTGGAACGAGTGTCTGCCCTCAGTCATCGCTCGGATCAGCTACTAAGGTGAAAAGGGAATTTATTTCTTGATTTTTGTGAACGTGTTTATGATGAATCCCTAACGTAATATGTGTATTGTGATTTATGTGTCAAAAATCGTACATTATTGTGAGTATTGTAGCGCTCGAGCAGAAGACGTCATCATTTTTCAGCTCGAAGCGTTCGTTCGTTGAAAAGATAAGGGGGCTGTATATACATTTTCCTTTGCTGATAATTGATTTTAAAACAACAACATTGGTATTTTATCGTGTGAAACACCTGAGCGTATTGTTTCTGCGTCAGAAAACACGGCCTTTCGGTTGATATGAAGCCTTTTAGCAGTTCCTGTTGAATAAGCCGGTAGCCAGTTAGCTGCTAGCTGAAGAGACGTCACGAATCTATAATTAGAGCCTGAGAGACATTTATAACTTGTGTTATTACCAGTGTGGTATAATATTAGACAACGTCAACATGGTTGGAGAATATGGGATATGTTCACATATATTTGTCCTGTCAGTATTTGTGACGTCTGGTGGCGTAGTGCCACATAGCCTTCTCACCAAAGGGTGTCCTCCAGTGTGTCATGAATAATGTTGTGCAACTGCGTCATGTGAGTGTTTTAACCATGGACATGCCTTCTTTTTCAGGGCATAGGAAGCAAGAATAACTGTTGGGACCAAGTTAAACTGGAGAACATAAATGGGGGATTACGGGTTTGGAGTCTTAGTGCAGAACAACACTGGCAACAAGTCTGCTTTCCCAGTTCGAATCCACCCTCACCTGCAACCGCCACATCACCACCCCAATGCAACCGCCAGCCCCGCCGCTTTCATAAACAGCACCCCGGCTGGGAATGGCAGCAGCAGCGCTTCGACCTGGCTGTTCCCGGCAGCTGGAGGCCACAACAACATGCAAGATGAAATTTTGGGCTCGGATAAACCCAAAGTACAGCAGCAGGAGCTGCAGGAGACCCAAGACAAACAGCAGCAGCAGCAGCTCTCGCCTGGACATCAGGAGAGCACCATCATCTCTGAACTGGAAAAGGCTCGTGCCGAAGAAGGTAAGGTGGAGAGTGGGTCGTCTGAAGGGACCAATGGCAAAGAGAAGCTGCGTTTGGAGTCGCCAGTGCTGACAGCCTTTGACTATCAGGAGCCCTCGGGACTGGGCACAGCAGCCCAGTCCAGCACCTCCTCCTCCCTGACCAGCTTCAACAACTGGTCGGCTGCTATTCCCGCCACCCCCTCCACCATTATCAACGAGGACATCAGCTTCTTCAACCCGGCCGCCTCGGCCAACAACGGCCCTCTTCTGTTCCAGAACTTCTCCCATCACGTCAGCCCAGGCTTCGGTGGCAACTTCTCCCCTCAGATTGGTCCCATCTCCCAGCACCACCCACCCCACCCCCACTTCCAGCACCCTCACAGTCAGCACCAGCAGCATCGTCGTTCTCCTGCCAGTCCTCATCCACCACCGTTCCCCCACCGCAGCGCCCCCTTTGGCCAGCTGCCGCATCTCTCCAACAACCTGAGCAAGCCTCCCTCACCATGGGGCAGCTACCAGAGCCCCTCGCCCTCTCCTTCTTCAACATCCTGGAGCCCAGGTGGGGGTTATGGTGGTTGGGGCGGCTCTCAGGGCCGCGAGTACCGCCGAGGCTTGAACGGGGGCATGACACCACTCAACTCCATCTCTCCACTCAAGAAGACCTTTCCAAACAACCACATGCCCCAGCAGAAATACTCCCGCGCCAGTCCCGGCTTTAATCCTAAATCCTGGATGGATGACAGGAGCGAGAACATCTTCCCATTCCAGGTATGTACACTTGACGTGGTGATCGGCTGTAAAATGGGTTACAGTGACCAGTGATTGATTGCTTTACTCCAAGGACTGTAACTATAACTGTAGCTATAAAGGTTTAAAGGGAATTCGAAGCTGACAAGGAGGTCTGTTAATAAAACACGACTGCTTTCGCATTAGGGCAGGCAATCTTATGCAATTAACATCAAG